TTCGACGAGACCCTGCCACACATTCAAATTTGATGAGGCCGAAATTCTCGCACGAGGTGACAATCGACACACAAACTGTTTCTGCTACTTTTCTGTGAGTATGTCTCTGATGACGAATACGCGACGGATTTCGAAACGTCAGGCAAATAAACATATTGTCCTAGCGATCGAGTCGTATTCTACTTCTCAACTACTTCCTGGGACTCGCGCGTTCGCTTGTATTAGCAACAAACGTACAGTTTTAGTTAATCGTCATCTTGCGCATATACTAATTTTTTGTGGTAGGACAGGGGTAGTGGGGATGCTCAAAATCAGTAACGGGATAAGGGCTGAATGCGGCATCTATTAAGGGGACAGGGTGATGGGGGGGGAAGTCTGTATGCAAACTGGTGGATTTGACGGGTGAGAAAGCAGTCTGTAGTTGCCCTAATCCACGCGAGCACTCAAGCTCTCGCGACTGCTAGCATGTGCACATGCACCAGTGTCTGCCTATTCTAATCTGGTCTGGCCAATCATCTCCCTGTGGCTGATTCACACACAACCACGCTATGACGATTTCCGCGTTCAGACAATTCGGATACCGCCCCTATCGGGTACGGACGCACGCTCTTCCGACCATCAGCTTTCTCCAACCTATTCTCCACTAACTCTGTATAGAATATACTATTGCTCCCACCTGGTGTCCCATTTCTCTTTCCACAGGTAACCGGGCCCGAAGATCGCAGCGGCAAAGTTTTTACCTAGTAAATTAAGCCACTGCTATAGGTCTGTCAGTCATCACGACACGCTACTTCGTGGGTGAGCTTTCATTCCAGTGCACGGATGTTTACCACGTCAGCGATGACTTTGACAAAAGCCTCGCGTTAGCAAAGTCTAGACATGCCTAGCGTTCTGCGCACACCAACCTGCTCTCACCGGCAGGCAGCCCTTTGGTGGAGGGGTGGCATGAGCGATAGGCGAAAGAGGACCTGACCGCGGAATAGCGAAAAACGGTGTTCGCCTGATTCCGCTATGAGCAGATAAACATGAACGGATGACTGGCGCTGACAATCAATTAGGGTGAGCTCGAACACAGGCAGACTGTAAGGAGGCGCTTGCAAGCCTGTAAACCGTGCATGTAACAGGCGGGAGTCTAGCTGAAGAGCCCCTGCTGGTGATGAATGGGAGTTCCGTGAGCGTGCCAACCGCGGAGACGCTCCATGATCATTCCAGCTATGTACCAAACAGTGGAGGGCTGTCTAAAAGTCGGTAGTCATCCGGATTAAAGAAATAGGAGACAGGAGAGGTATTTTCGAAGAAAGGCGTCCTTTGGGAAATCGAGTAAATTTATTCGTAAATTTTCGACAATAGATCTCCAGGTCGACGTCAGACTTGAGAAAAATATGCAAAGAACAGTATGCCTGTCAACAACCTTTCGAGTGAGCTTTC